GGATTTTGGGGGGTCCTAGGGGGGTTTTGGGGGGTCCTGGGGGGTTTAGGGAGTCCTGGGGTTTTTGGGGGGGTTTTGGGGGGTCCCCAGGTGACGGCGGTGCCCCCCCCAGGTTCCTGTACTGGTCGGACTGGGGGTCCCGGCCCCAAATCACTCGGGGGGCTCAGGACGGGGGGGACCCCCCCAAGGCGCTGGTGAGCGACGGCGTCGAGCGGCCGCTGGGGCTGGCCCTGGGTGAGACCCCAAAAATGTCCCCAAATGTCACAAATGTCACCAAAAGTGGCCCCAAAATGACCCTGAAATGTCCTCAAAGTAACCCCAACATGTCCCCAAAAATGACCCAAATATGGCCCCAAAATGTCCCTAAATTTGACCCTAAAAATGTCCCAAATGTGACCCCAAAAATGGCCCCAAAGTGACCCCAAAAGTCACCAGAATGTCACCAAAGTGACCCCAAAAATGGCCCCTGAGTGGCCCCAAATGTCCCCAAAGTGACCCCAAAATGTCCCCAAAAATGGCCCCAGTGTCCCAAATGTGACCCCAAAAATGTCCCAAATGTGACCCCAGAATGTCACAAAAAATGTTCCCAAAGTGACCCCAAAAATGGCCCCAAAGTGTCACCAAGAAGTCTTAAAAAGTGTCCTCAAAGTGACCCCAAAATGGCCCCAAAATGTCCACAAAAATGGCCCCAAATGTGACCCCAAAAATGGCCCCAAAGTGACCCCAAAATGTCACAAAAAATGGCCTCTAATGTGACCCCAAAAATGGCCCCAGAGTTACCCCAAAATGTCCCCAAAAAATGGCTCCAAAGTGACCCCAAAATGTCACAAAAAATGGCCCCAAATGTGACCCCAAAAATGGCCCCAGAAATGTCCTCAAAATGACCCAAAGTGACCCCAGAATGTCACAAAAAATGTTCCCAAAGTGACCCCAAAAATGGCCCCAGAAATGTCCCCAAAATGACCCAAAGTGACCCCAAAATGTCACAAAAAATGGCCTCTAATGTGACCCCAAAAATGGCCCCAGAGTTACCCCAAAATGTCCCCAAAAAATGGCTCCAAAGTGACCCCAAAATGTCCCCAAAAATGGCCCCAAAGGGACCCCAAAGTGACCCCAAAAATGGCCCCAAAGTGACCCCAAAGTGTTCCCAGAGTGTCACGAAAAAGACCCTAAATTTGACCCCAAAAATGTCCCCAAAATGGCCCCAAAGGGTCCCAAATGTGACCCCAAAGTGTCACCAAAGTGACCCCAAAAATGGCCCCAAAATGTCCCCGAAGTGTCCCCAAAAAGTCCTAAAAACTGTCCTCAAAGTGACCCCAAAATGGCCCCAAAATGTCCCAAATGTGACCCCAAAAATGTCCTCAAAGTGACCCCAAAATGGCCCCAGAAATGTCCCCAAAATGACCCAAAGTGACCCCAAAAAGTCTCAAAAAATGACCCAAAATGGCGGATGGGCGATGAGGGGGGATGGGTGATGATGATGATGATGATGATGATGATAATGATGATGATGATGATGATGATGGTGACCCCCCAGACCCCTCCTTGCGCCGCCTGTTCTGGGCCGACAGGCGGTGATGGGGGATGATGATGATGATGATGATGATGATAATGATGATGATGATGATGATGGTGACCCCCCAGCCCCCTCCTTGCGCCGCCTGTTCTGGGCCGACAGGCGGAGATGGGGGATGATGATGATGATGATGATGATGATAATGATGATGATGATGATGATGGTGACCCCCCAGCCCCCTCCTTGCGCCGCCTGTTCTGGGCCGACAGGCGGAGATGGGGGATGATGATGATGATGATGATGATGATAATGGATGATGGTGGTGATGATTGTGATGTTGATGATGATGATGATGATGAAGATGATGATGATGACCCCCCCCAGACCCCTCCTCGCGCCGCCTGTTCTGGGCGGACGGGCGGCTCCAGGCCGTGAGCAGCGTGGGGCTGGACGGGAGCGACCGGCGCACGCACCTGAGAGACCCCCGGCACCTGGGGCAGCCCCTGGGGCTGGCTGCGCTCGGGGTGAGACCCCCGGGACCCCCCCAATATCCCCTGAGACCCCCGGCACCTGGGGCAGCCCCTGGGGCTGGCTGCGCTCGGGGTGAGACCCCCGGGACCCCCGGGACCCCCCCCGAGACCCCTGACCCACCCTGAGACCCCCGGGACCCCCGGGACCCCCCGGGACCTCCCGGGACCCCCCGAGATAGGGAGAGACCCCTGGGACCCCCGGGATTGGGGAGAGACCCCCGGGTTAGGGAGGGCGCAGAGCAACTCCTACATCTGGATGGAGAGAGCCCACCGCCGGCCCGGTGAGACCCCCGGGCCCCCCCCGGGTGGTGGCTCAGGAGCTCTTCAGCCCCGAGGCCGTGCTGCTGCTGCACCCCGACAGGCAGCCCCCAGGTACCCAAAACACCCCGAAATCACCCCAAAAATATCCTGAAATCACCCCAAAAATATCCCCTAAATATCCCCAAAATATCAGTAAAATATCCCAAAAATATCCCCAAAATATCCTGAAAGTATCATTAAAGTATCATTAAAATATCCCCAAAAACACCCCAAAAATATCCTGAAATCACCCCAAAAATATCCCCTAAATATCCCCAAAATATCAGTAAAATATCCCAAAAATATCCCCAAAATATCCTGAAAGTATCATTAAAGTATCATTAAAATATCCCCAAAAACACCCCAAAAATATCCTGAAATCACCCCAAAAATATCCCCAAAATATCCTAAAAATATCCCCTAAATATCCCCAAAATGCACCCCGACAGGCAGCCCCCAGGTACCCCAAAAACACCCCGAAATCACCCCAAAAATATCCCCAAAATATCCTAAAAATATCCCCTAAATATCCCCAAAATGCACCCCGACAGGCAGCCCCCAGGTACCCCAAAAACACCCCGAAATCACCCCAAAAATATCCCCAAAATATCCTAAAAATATCCCCTAAATATCCCCAAAATATCCCCCAAAACACCCCAAAAATATCCTAAAAATATCTCAAACATGTCCCCTAAATATCCCTGAAAATATCCTCAAAATCACCCCAAAATTATCCCCAAAAATATCCCCAAAATATCCCCCAAAACACCCCAAAAATATCCTAAAAATATCTCAAACATGTCCCCTAAATATCCCTGAAAATATCCTCAAAATCACCCCAAAATTATCCCAAAAAATATCCCCAAAATATCCTAAAATCACCCCCAAAATATTCCCAAAAATATCCTGAAAATATTCCCAAAATATTCCCAAAATATCCCCAAAACCACCCGAAAAATATCCTAAAAATACCCCAAACATGTCCCCTAAATATCCCCCACCCGTGCCCCTCCCCCACCTTTACCTAACGCCTCGGCAGGTGAGGCCACGCCCACCGACCACGCCCACTGCAACAACAGACCACACCCACTGGCATGCATGGCTGTGCCCATTGGCCACGCCCACTGACACACTTGGCCACGCCCACCGACACGCCCGGCCACTGCCATTGACCACGCCCACTGACTCACCTGGCCACGCCCACCGACCACGCCCACTCGAACAACCGACCACGCCCACAGTCACACCTGGCCACGCCCATTGGCCACGCCCACTGACACACCTGGATGTGCCCTTGACCACGCCCACTGACTCATGTGGCCACACCCATTGGCCACGCCCACTGACTCGCCTGGCCACGCCCATTGGCCACAACCATTGAGAGAACTGACCCTGCCAAGTAGCCACGCCCACTTCCATGCAGGACCACACCCACTGATCCTGCATGGCCACACCCACTCACCACACCTGCTGGCCAGCCACGCGCACTGACACACCTGGCCACGCCCATTGACCACGCCCACCGACTCACCTGGCCACACCCATTGGCCACGCCCACTGACTCGCCTGGCCACGCCCATTGGCCACAACCATTGAGAGAACTGACCCTGCCAAGTAGCCACGCCCACTTCCATGCAGGACCACACCCACTGATCCTGCATGGCCACACCCACTCACCACACCTGCTGGCCACGCCCACTGACACGCCTGACTGCGCCCACTGGCCACGCCCACTGCTACACATGGCCACGCCCACCACCACACCTGGCCACGCCCATTTTGTACATCACCACGCCCACTGGCCACACAAATTGTCAAGGCTGGCCACGCCCACTTCCAAGGCTGGCCACGCCCACTTCCACACCCGGCCACGCCCCCTGACCTCCCCTGTCCCACAGGTGACCTCGGCCAGGTGGGCGGGCCCAAGGGGGCGGGGCCATTGATGACGTCACTGGGGATCCTGCTGCCCATTGGTACGGCCCGGGAGGGGGAGGGGCCAAAATTTTGGGGGGGTTGGGGGTATCCCAGATTTTGGGTGAAATACCCAGAATTTTGGGGACATATCCCGTTTTTTTGGGGAGATTTCCCTGTTTTTTGAAAGAATATTCCAGTTTTGGGGGGAAATATCTCAGATTTTGGGGCAAAATCTGGTTTTTTTGGGGAAAAAATCCCAAATTTTGCGGGTCGTCCCCTCCCTGCAGTTCCCACCCGTGACCACCAGAGGGCGCCATGAATTGATCCCATTGGGGGAAAAATCCCGGAATTTTGGGGGGAATATCCCAAATTTTGGGGGTGGGGGAGGGAAATATCCCAAATTTTGGGGTGAATAGCCCAGTTTTTTGGGGTAAAATCACGTTTTTTTGGGTAAAAATCCCAAATTTTGGGTGTCATCCCCTCCCTGCAGTTCCACCTGTGGCCACCAGGTGGCGCCATGAACTGATCCCGTTGTGGGGAAAATGCCAAATTTTGGGGGGAAAATCCCGAATTTTGTGGGGAAAATCCCAAATTTTGGGGTCCCCCCAAATTTCGGGGTCCCCCTGACCCCCCGTGTGCCCCCAGGGCTGGCGCTGTGCCTGGCGGCCGCGGGGCGGGCGCTGTGGCGGGGCTGGCGCCGGCGCAGCACCAACAGCATCAGCTTCAGCAACGCCGCCTTCCGGAAGGATCCGGAGCACCTGGAGGGGGCGGGGCTGGGCGAGGCGCAGGTGAGCTCCCGGAGGGGGCGGGGCCTGGGGGGACAGGTGAGGGGGACCCCCAGGTGACCCCGCTTTGCTCCCGCAGTGGCCGCTGACGGCTGAGGACGACGAGGCCTGAGGGGCCGGGGGAGGAGAGACCCCCCCGGGACACCTGGGTGCACCTGGGGACACCTGGGGACACCTGGAGATGCCTGGGTGCACCTGAGGGACACCTGGGGACACCTGAGGGACATCTGGGGACACCTGAGTGCACCTGGGACACACCTGGGGACACCTGGATGGACTTGGGCGCACCTGGACACACCTGGGCGCACCTGGGGACACCTGAGGGACATCTAGGGACACCTGGGTGCACCTGGAAACACCTGGATGGACACTTGGAGATACCTGGGTGCACCTGAGGGACACCTGGGGACACCTGAGGGACATCTGGGAATACCTGGCACACACCTGGATGGACTTGGGCGCACCTGGACACACCTGGGCGCACCCCGCTTTGCTCCCGCAGTGGCCGCTGACGGCTGAGGACGACGAGGCCTGAGGGGCCGAGACCCCCCGGGACACCTGGGTGCACCTGGGGGACACCTGGGACACACCTGGATGGACTTGGGCGCACCTGGGGACACCTGAGGGACATCTGGGGACACCTGAGTGCACCTGGGACACACCTGGGGACACCTGGATGGACTTGGGCGCACCTGGACACACCTGGGCGCACCTGGGGACACCTGAGGGACATCTAGGGACACCTGGGTGCACCTGGAAACACCTGGGATGGAACTTGGAGATACCTGGGTGCACCTGAGGGACACCTGGGGACACCTGAGGGACACCTGGGGACACCTGGAGACACCTGGGGGACGTCTGGGAACACCTGGGTGCACCTGGAGCCACCTGGGTGCACCTGGATGGACACCTGGAGATGCCTGAGGGACATCTAGGGATACCTGGGGACATCTGGGTGCACCTGGGACACACCTGGGGACACCTGGGGACACCTGGGACACACCTGGGACACACCTGGATGGACTTGGGCGCACCTGGGTGCACCTGGGGACACCTGGAGATACCTGGGTGCACCTGAGGGACATCTAGGGATACCTGAGGGACATCTGGACCCACCTGAAGACACCTGGGTGCACCTGGGACACACCTGGATGGACTTGGGTGCACCTGAGTGACACCTGGGGACACCTGGGGACACCTGAGGGACATCTGGGAATACCTGGCACACACCTGGATGGACTTGGGCGCACCTGGGGGACACCTGGGGGCACGTGGGGACACCTGGATGGACACCTGGGACACACCTGGGACACACCTGGATGGACTTGGGCCTGGGACACACCTGGATGGACTTGGGCGCACCTGGACACACCTGGGCGCACCTGGGGACACCTGAGGGACATCTAGGGACACCTGGGTGCACCTGGAAACACCTGGATGGACACTTGGAGATACCTGGGTGCACCTGAGGGACACCTGGGGACACCTGAGGGACACCTGGGGACACCTGGAGACACCTGGGGGACGTCTGGGAACACCTGGGTGCACCTGGATGCACCTGGGTGCACCTGGATGGACACCTGGAGATGCCTGAGGGACATCTAGGGATACCTGGGGACATCTGGGTGCACCTGGGACACACCTGGATGGACTTGGGCGCACCTGGGGACACCTGGGGACACCAGAGGGACATCTGGGAATACCTGGGACACACCTGGATGGACTTGGGCGCACCTGGGCGCACCTGGGGACACCTGGAGATACCTGGGTGCACCTGAGGGACATCTAGGGATACCTGAGGGACATCTGGACCCACCTGAAGACACCTGGGTGCACCTGGGACACACCTGGATGGACTTGGGTGCACCTGAGTGACACCTGGGGACACCTGGGGACACCTGAGGGACATCTGGGAATACCTGGCACACACCTGGATGGACTTGGGCGCACCTGGGGGACACCTGGGGGCACGTGGGGACACCTGGATGGACACCTGGGACACACCTGGGACACACCTGGATGGACTTGGGCGCACCTGGGGACACCTGCATGGACACTTGGGGACATCTGGGGGACACCTAGAGATACCTGGGGACACCTGGGTGCACCTGGAAACACCTGGGATGGAACCTGGAGATACCTGGGTACACCTGGAGATACCTGAGGGACATCTGGATGCACCTGGGGACACCTGGATGGATGCCTGGGAACACCAAAAAGCCTGGGGCACACCTGGAGACACCTGGGCACAGCTGGACGAGGCTGTGCACACCTGTCCTTGTTATTCTCACCTGTGCCCACCTGTCCTTGCTGTTCTCACCTGTTCTCCCCTCCCCCTCCCCTCTCCAGGTGTCCCCGGCTCCGTTTTTTAGGATTTTTTTAATTTTTATTTTTAACCAAAACCCCGCGGATTCGGCCCAAATTTGAGGCCGCCGCGGAAAGGGGCGGGGCCAATGTGGCCACGCCCTCGTGACGTCAATAAAGGGTTATTTATTAACCCCTGAGTGAGCGGATTGGGGGCGGGGCCTAGGGAATGCTTCACGCTCGCTGATTGGTCGGGATTTCCCTCCAAAACGGCCGCGCGCTGCTGATTGGACGCCGCGCGCGCGGGGTCGCGCGCCATTGGCTGGGCGAGCTGCCAATCAAAGGCCAGGGGCCGGCGCGGCTGTGATTGGCCAGCGAGTTTCCCGCCGCTGATTGAGCCGCGTGCCTGTCAATCTAACGAAGCCCCGCCTCTCCCTCTCCACGCGCTCTATTGGCTGCGCTGGCTGTCAGTCAAGTGCGTCCTCCAATCGTTGCGCAGCGTGGGCGGGAGGGGAAATCCCCACAAGCTATTGGTCGGGCAAAACGTCAATCACTCTTCGCCCCGCCTTCCCAGTGATTTCCGCTTCCTCCACCAATCGCGGCGTCTCGCGGGGCCGCCCAGCCGCTGATTGGCTGCGCTCCCTCAGTCCCGCCCACGCCCTTCGTCCATCCCCTCTTTCCCATTGGCCCAGCGCGCCGTCACTCACCCCAACACCCCTCAATCGCAGCGCGCCGGCTCCTTCCTTCCTCCCATTGGCCGCCGCTCCCCACCTTCATAATTTGATTGGCCAACACACCTGTCGCTCAACGCCAACCCGCGCGCCGATTGGCGGAGCCCCTCCGGTGGCGGGCGGGCCTCCCAGCGTGCCCCGCGCGGCCTGAGGCGAGCGCGGCCCGTTCCCGTCGCCGCCTCCGCCATGTCCGAGTTCGGCCCCGCGCCGCCCCCGCCCCCCCAGCCCGGGGCCAGGATTTCAGGGGTCCTGAGGGGATCTGGGGGAGTTTCAGTGGGATTTGAGGAGTCCTGAGGGGGTTTGGGGGGGTCCTGAGGGCATCAAGGATGGATTTTGAGGGGTCCTCAGGGGGTTTGGGGGGAATTTGAGGGGTCCTGAGGGGATTTGGGGGGTCCTGAGGGGATTTTGAGGGGTTTGGGGGAGTCCTGAGGGGATTTAGGGGGAGATTTTGAGGGATCCTGAGGGGATTTTGAGGGATCTTGGGGGGTCCTGAGTGGTTTTGGAGAGGTTTTGAGGGGTCCTGAGGGGGATTTTAGGGGTCCTGAGGGGGTTTGGGGACAATTTGGGGGGGTCCTGAGGAGGTTTGAGGGATCTTGGGGGGTCCTGGGGGAGTTTTGGGGGGAATTTGAGGAGTCTTGAGGGAATTTGGGGGGTCCTGAGGGGTTTTTGGGGTTCCTGGGGGGATTTTGGGGTTCTCAGTATGAGTTTGGGGGGATCATTTTGGGGGTGACCCCAAAAAAGAGAATTTTGGGGAAGTTTTGGGGGTCTTGGCGTGAGTTTGGGGGGCGTTTTTGGGGTGATTTTGTGGCTTTTTGGGATTTTGGAATGATCTTGTGGGATTTTGAGGTAATTTTGGGCCATTTTGGGCAATTTTGGGGTGATTTTGTGGGTTATTCTGAATTTTAGAGTGATTTTGTGGCATTTTTTGGATTTTTGGGGTAATTTTGGGGTATTTTAAGGTGGTTTGGGGCATTTTTGAGGTGATTTTGTGGGATTTTAGGACATTTTAAGGTTATTTTTGTGGGCTTTTGGGGCATTTTAAGGTGATTTTGGGACAATTTTGGGATAAATTATGATGTTTTAAGGTGACTTTGGGGTGTTTTGAGCCATTTTAGGTGATGTGGGACTTTGAGGTCATTTTGTGGGATTTTGGGGCATTTTAGGGCAATTTTGGGGTAATTTTGTGGCTTTTTTGGGGATTTTGGAGTAATTTTGGGGCAATTTTAGAGCAATTTTGGGGTGATTTTGTATTTTTTTTTTTATTTTGGGGCACTTTAGGGGAATTTTGTGGGATTTTGGAGTCATTTTGGGGCATTTTAAGGTGATTTTGGGTGATCTTGTGGGATTTTGAGGTAATTTTTTGGGATTTTGGGGCATTTTGTGGGATTTTGGGGTCGTTTTGGGCTGATTTTGGGTCATTTTGGGGCAATTTTAGGGCAATTTTGGGCCATTTTAAGGTGATTTTGGGGTACTTTGAAGCATTTTGGGTGATGTGTAATTTTGAGGTCATTTTGTGGGATTTTGGGTAATTTTGGGGTAATTTTAGGGCAATTTTGGTGAATTTTGGGGCATTTAAAGGTAATTTTGGGACATTTAAAGGTGATTTTGTGGTACTTTGAAGCATTTTGGGTGATGTGTATTTTTGAGGTCATTTTGTGGGATTTTGGAGTAATTTTGGGGCATTTTAAGGTGATTTTGGGTGATCTTGTGGGATTTTGAGGTAATTTTTTGGGATTTTGGGGCATTTTGTGGGATTTTGGGGTCGTTTTGGGCTGATTTTGGGTCATTTTGGGGTGATTTCAGGGCAATTTTGGGCCATTTTAAGGTGATTTTGGGGTACTTTGAAGCATTTTGGGTGATGTGTAATTTTGAGGTCATTTTGTGGGATTTTGAGGTTATTTTATAGGATTTTGAGGTCATTTTGTGGGATTTTGAGGTTATTTTATAGGATTTTGAGGTCATTTTGTGGGATTTTGGAGTCATTTTACTGGATTTTGAGGTCATTTTGTGGGATTTTGGGTAATTTTGGGGCAATTTTAGGGCAATTTAGGTGAATTTTGGGGCATTTAAAGGTAATTTTGGGCCATTTTAAGGTGATTTTGTGGTACTTTGAAGCATTTTGGGTGATGTGTAATTTTGAGGTCATTTTGTGGGATTTTGGGTAATTTTGGGGGGACAATTTGGGGGGGTCCTGAGGAGGTTTGAGGGGTCCTGGGGGAGTTTTGGGGGGAATTTGAGGAGTCTTGAGGGAATTTGGGGGGTCCTGAGGGGTTTTTGGGGTTCCTGGGGGGATTTTGGGGTTCTCAGTATGAGTTTGGGGGGATCATTTTGGGGGTGACCCCAAAAAAGAGAATTTTGGGGAAGTTTTGGGGGTCTTGGCGTGAGTTTGGGGGGCGTTTTTGGGGTGATTTTGTGGCTTTTTGGGATTTTGGAATGATCTCGTGGGATTTTGAGGTAATTTTGGGCCATTTTGGGCAATTTTGGGGTGATTTTGTGGGTTATTCTGAATTTTAGAGTGATTTTGTGGCATTTTTTGGATTTTTGGGGTAATTTTGGGGTATTTTAAGGTGGTTTGGGGCATTTTTGAGGTGATTTTGTGGGATTTTAGGACATTTTAAGGTAATTTTTGTGGGCTTTTGGGGCATTTTAAGGTGATTTTGGGACAATTTTGGGATAAATTATGATGTTTTAAGGTGATTTTGGGGTGTTTTGTGCCATTTTAGGTGATGTGGGACTTTGAGGTCATTTTGTGGGATTTTGGGGCATTTTAGGGCAATTTTGGGGTAATTTTGTGGCTTTTTTTGGGATTTTGGAGTAATTTTGGGGCAATTTTAGAGCAATTTTGGGGTGTTTTTGTATTTTTTTTTATTTTGGGGCACTTTAGGGGAATTTTGTGGGATTTTGGAGTCATTTTGGGGCTTTTTAAGGTGATTTTGGGTGATCTTGTGGGATTTTGAGGTAATTTTTTGCGATTTTGGGGCATTTTGTGGGATTTTGGGGTCGTTTTGGGCTGATTTTGGGTCATTTTGGGGTGATTTCAGGGCAATTTTGGGCCATTTTAAGGTGATTTTGGGGTACTTTGAGGCATTTTGAGGTCATTTTGTGGGATTTTGGGTCATTTTAGGGCAGTTTTGGGTAATTTTGGGCCATTTTAAGGTGATTT